TATTCTATTCTATTCTATTCTATTCTATTCTATTCTATTCTATTCTATTCTATTCTATTCCTTATTCCTTATTCCTTATTCCTTATTCCTTATTCCTTATTCTATTCTTATTTCTTATTCTTCTCTACTCTACTCATATATTTTTATACATTCTATTTTTCCCCACTGTGCCTCTTGGATTAATATTAATCTGATATTGTTAATCGTAGTTCAATAAAAGCGACAGAAGCAACTAACTTCCCTGGCAGTTTGATTTATACAAACCAATCACTCCAATCTGTACTTTTATTGCTGTGGGTTCTTTCTCTCCCCTTTTTCTAGGTTTATTGGCATTCTAGTGCCCACATTCTTGGCGAAGCCATGGAAAATTATTACGGGGGATGCTTATGTTACGGACCCCCCATTGAAAACGGCTTCTATTATGACATGCACATGGAAAACAGGTACATTCTGCCAACTAGTGCAGTGCATAAAATATTCAGTTAAACCAGAACAAAATATTTATAATGTTTCATCTACAGTGTCCAGAGTGGCTTTGCAATAATCAAGGATGCTTTGGCTAAATTAAAAATAAATGCTTGTAATGATTATAGTTGGTTCTCGACTTATGAAGTTAATGGTGCCTGCCCAATTCAATCATAAGTTGTAATGATCGTAAAGAAGGTCAGCCATGATGTGATAGACTCCATTTTATGACCATGTGTTTGAAGCAAAATGGGTAAACCAAACCCATTTTGGCATTTTTGCTGAAAACCAGAAATAAACAGGGTTGTTGGTTTTTTTAAGTCATTAAATGCAGTCACGTGACTGCAAGATGTTGCAAACAGTCATAAATGCAGGTCAATTCCTGAAATTTGGAACCAATCAAACCAGTCTCTGTCGTAAGTTGAGGACTACCGTTCTAGTGTAGTTTGGATGTATGAAAATAAATCACTGAGGTTATTAATAGCCTGCAAGGATGTGTTTTTTTAAACAATGTCTACATAAATTACCTACGATGCACAGGAATAATTTAAGACTTTTTTTTAACAGTTAGGATGATCTCACCTGGGATAAAGGAGCGTAGGACTCACCTGCGGTGGGAAGATGACCATGTGTTCCTTTTATTGGGTGTGCAGCTGGTCCCGCCGATGTAAAATTCTTCTTTTTTTCCAGAGGGGTATCCAGTACGGAGTTGTGTGCTCTGGAGAACATTTGCAAAAGCATTATCAAGGAGAAGCAGCCCTTTGAAAGGCTCGAAGTCCAAAAAGAAGATTTGCTAGAAATGTTTAAAGTAAGTCCTGCATTTCTGAAGTTTTCAAAGGGACCTTGGAGGTCTTCTAGTCCAACCGCTGCCCGAACAGGAGGTCCTATATCATTTCAAACAGATGGTTGTCCAATCTCTTCTTAAAAACCTCCAGTGATGATGAAGCATCCACAACTTGTGAAGGCAAGCCGTTCCATTGTTTGATTGCTCTCACTGTGAGGAAATTTCTCCTTAGTTCTAGGTCGCTTCTAACCTAGGTTATAGTTGATTTATTATTTTCTATTTGGGTTTCTGCTAATAATAAGGCAAAACCAGGTAAAGAATTAAAGACCTCTCTTTCTATCAACATCCTGCTGAGTTATTTTCAATAATTTTCAGAGGATGTATATTTTAGTGTATAGTTTAATTATATTGATTACTGTTAGGTCAAATAAGCATATTATTATTATTGTAAAAAGGCTGTTCAGAGTGTAACACATTTGACATTTTATCCTTGTGAATATATAATTGCACTCATTTTTCTTTTTCGATCCAGATTGTGATTGTTGTGTTTTACGTGGCTGGTCATTGAATAAATAAATACAATAAAAATAACCTTTTCATAATAATTCAGAGCTTTTCCAAAAAGATTTGTAGAATGTGTGGGAGCAGGAAAGTACCCCACTGAAAATTCTGCAAGAATAGCAGTCTTTCCCAGTTGGTATCTCTAAAAAGGCTGGAATTAAAATTACATTCCCATCCAACATGGCCAGAAGGGTGAAGCAGTCAAGGATAGAGCACATGGGCCCCCAAAAGGCTGAGTCTCAATGTATTTATTTTGCCAATTTCTTTATTTCTCTGCACAGTACAACAAGTTTAAATGTCGGATCCTGACTGAGAAAATCCACACGCCGACCACAACTGTATACAGGTAACAGACGGATTTGATTTTGTGTGTGAATAGTCTCTCTTCGCTTAACTAGAGAGGAGAAGCATGTGAAATAAATGTTGGTTAAGTTTCAGCAACTGTTGATGTTGTTGCTGTGCAAGTTTAGAGCTGTTTCAGTACGACCATGTGTATTCGTGGTTGGTGAAGTGTCTAATAACTCAAACATAGTTAACTATTTCACTGGTCATCTCATAGGTGTGGCCCCTTGATTGATCTATGCAGAGGCCCTCATGTGAGACACACTGGAAAAATAAAGGCCTTAAAGATAATTAAGGTAAGAAAGGTTTTTTTTTTTTTAGTAGAAATTGAACACTAAAGATAAAATTCCAGGCCCAATTCAAAGCATTGGCTGTAACCAATAGAGCAGCATGTTGCAACCTTGGGAACTTGAACAGACGTGTAGATTTCAACTCCCAGAATTCCTCAACCAGCTTGAGGAATAATATAAATATAATGATATAAGCAGGATGGATCAAAAACGAAGAGTATGTGTTGAGTTTTATCAAGAAATCCCGGGCTGTTTATGGTTGTTTTGTTCCTGGAAAGGATTCGGACGAATCTTTCTCCATCTTGGTAACTTTAAGATGTGTGAACTTCAAAACCCTGTGGAAAATGTAATAATGATTTGTATTAATGGAAAATAATAAAAAGTATTATTTTTAAAAAAAGATGTGCGGACTTCAACTCGGTTGGCTGGGGAGTTCTGGGTCTTGAAAATCCACGCATCTTAAAAGCCACCGAGGTTGAGAAACACCAGTTCAGAAGACCAGACAGGATAGTGGTGCATTTATTTCCCAAACCCTTCAATCATGGATGTTTTTTTGGTTGGTTTGCTTGCTTTTGGGCCAATGTTTTGCGTTATTAGAATTCGTCGACCTATTGGGAGGGGAAGTCCAACATGGAAACCTTGCAGCGGATCTACGGAATCTCTTTCCCAGAGGCCAAAATGATGAAGGAGTGGGAAAAGTTCCAGGAGGAAGCTAAAAAACGGGACCACAGGAAAATTGGCAAGGTGAGTTTTGGACTCTCAGGGATAAACTCCAAGTAAAGCTTTTCTTAGGTAAAAGTAAAGGTTCCCCTCGCACACACGTGCTAGTCATTTCCGGCTCTAGGGGGCGGTGCTCACCTCCGTTTCTAAGTTGAAGAGCCAGCGCTGTCCGAAGACGTCTCCATGGCCATGTGGCCGGCAGGACTAAGCGCTGAAGGTGCACGGAACACTGTGACCTTCCCACCTAAGTTGATCCCTATTTTTCTACTTGCATTTTCACCTGCTTTCGAACTGCCAGGTTGGCAGAAGCTGGGACAAGTCATGGGAGCTCACTCCGTTATGTGGTGCTAGGGATTCGAACTGCTGAACTGCCAACCTTTCTGATCGAGAAGCTCAGCGTCTTAGCCACTGAGCCACCGCGTCCCTTAGGGAAGCTTTTCTTAAGAGGGCCTGAAAAGATTTATGTCCCGTCAAAAAACCCCTGTCAAAAATCTGGGCGTTAAGTTTGAAGCCCGGGGGAAGAAAATTCAGGGGGGCTGTTGTGCATTCATTGTTGCTTTTGAGAGTTACACAACTTCACCCCATCGAGAAGGTTGCGGTGCCCTTGGGGCGCTCTGAGCTGGTTGCAGAAGTTTCATGACCCAACTAGGTAACATCTTCAGTTCTAGGAGGGCGTAGGGTTTGCAAGAAAACGGCAACCCTGAGCTACACATATTTCTTCTCTTGGTAAGGCTGACTCTTCTTTTAACTTTGGGTGACTCTACAGGAACAAGAGCTGTTCTTTTTCCACGACCTGAGCCCTGGAAGCTGTTTCTTTCTTCCCCGTGGAGCTTTTATTTACAACACACTCGTGGATTTCATCAAAGTAAGTGCATCTCTAGAGCAGTCTTTCTCAACCTTGAGAACTTTTAAGATGTGTGGACTTCAGCTCTCATAATTCCCCAGCCATCTAGAGAGCAGTCCTAACCTCACACTACTTACACAAGGAATCTCAGTGTGACTTTCTCGGTAGAGAAATGAAGTATGTATACACGAGACACGCCTTTTGGTCTGATTCGGTCCTTCCAATCTGCAAGTCTAGCCTAGAACAGATGGAACTTTTAAGGACTTCAGATCAACACTTATAAAGGGCATATTTTCTCCATCACCTGTTCACCACCTGTGCTGGGATGGAGCCTGTGGAGTCCCAGGAGGAAGGGAGGGGCTGCTTTCCAGAGAGCAAAGAGGCAATCCAGCATGGCGTGCCTGACGGGCAGGAAGACGGCTAAGACTGTCCCTCCCTGGCAGTTCGCAGAGTATATCTAATCGTTCTGCAGGCAGGTGCTTTAGTCCGGCAAGATTCTGTCTGTAGGAACAATAAAGAAACTACTCAGCAGTATCTCCATGTGTTGTACTTGTGTTCTTGGGACCTGACACCACTTTTCCTTGTACAGGAAGAATATCAGCGGCGGAACTTCATGGAAGTCATTTCGCCCAATATCTACAACAGTAAACTTTGGGTAACCTCTGGCCACTGGCAGCATTACAGCGAGAACATGTTCTCTTTCGAGGCGGAAAAAGAAATATTTGCCCTGAAGCCCATGAACTGCCCTGGACACTGGTGAGGGTTCCTCTCTCTCTCTTTCTCCCAGCAGTTTGTGGAATTGGGCCCTGAACGTGGGGGCTCCTTTGATCCATGGGGATTACAGGTCAAAACCCCACGGAGAAAACTTACGGGGTCTCCCTCGGTTGAGATGAACATTGGGGCTTGGTTTGACAAACTTCTCCCCATCTCTCCCAGCCTAATGTTTGCCCACCGTCCTCGGTCTTGGAGGGAGATGCCTCTGAGACTGGCTGATTTCGGGGTGCTTCACCGCAACGAACTTTCAGGGACCCTCAGTGGTCTGATGCGAGTCCGACGCTTCCAACAAGATGACGCTCACCTCTTCTGCACGATGGAGCAGGTGGGACACCTCACCTGGGCTCGCTGCAGTTCAAGGGACCCCAGGAAGGGAGGTTGGTTTCTAGGAAAACGCTAGCACGGAGGTCCCCAAACTTGGCCACTTTTAAGACTTCAACTCCCAGAATTCTCCAGCCAATTGGCCAAGTTTGGACACCCCTGTAGGCCACTCTGAGGTCCCTGAGACCAAACAGATGGAATAACAGAATAACAAGAGTTCGAAGGGACCTTGGTGGTCTTCTATCCGACCCCTTGCTCAAGCAGGAAACCCTATAACAGGGGTCTCCAAACTTGGCAAACTTTTAAGACTTGTGGACTTCAACTTCCAGAATTCTGGGCGTTGAAGACCACAAGTCTTTAGAGTTGCCAAGTTTGGAGACCTCTGCACTACTAGCTCCTTTCACCTTTGAAGTTCCTGCTGATGGACCTCTTCGCTTACAGATCGAGGAGGAGATGAAAGGATGTCTCCATTTCCTGCGGTCTGTGTATGCCGGTTTTGGTTTCACCTTCCAGCTCCATCTTTCCACAAGACCCAACAACTTCCTAGGGGAGAAAGAGATCTGGGATCAGGCGGAGAAGGTGAGGGGGGCAGGCAGGGGTGGGATTCCAAACTCCCAGCAACCGGTTCACTGCCCAGTTGCTGGGTGGGCATGGCCATGGTAGGCTTCCCTCAGGCCTCTTGGAGGGACAAAATGGCCACCTCCAGGCTTTGGAGGCCCACCGGAAGCCAGAATCAGGCCCGTTTCTGGACTTCCGGTACTTCCGGAAGGCCTATTTTTCCCCCTCCCAGAGCCTCCGCACAGACCTTCCCCTTCCCTGCATTGAAAATGGGCCACCTGGAGACTACTGGGAGGGGAGGGTGGACCCGGCCAGCCAGTCAGTTCAATTGCTGGTTTGGCGAACCAGATGCAAATGTAACACCCGGTTCGCTCGAACCAGTCCAAACCGTTAGTATCCCACCCCTGGGAGCAGGGTGCGTAGAGCGGGGCAAACCACGGGTGGGACTTTGACCACCATTCTTCTTTCCAACTTCAGCAACTCCAGAACAGCTTGGATGACTTTGGGGAGCCTTGGAAGCTCAATCCAGGTGACGGGGCGTTTTACGGGCCCAAGGTTAGTGAGCCGTTCTGGATTCTCAACTGAAACTTTAGCAGTGAACGCCAACTTCATTCTGCACAGGTAGTCCTCAATTTGTGGCCAGCACAGGGATCCTGTGACGGTTGTAATTGTGAGGAGTGTAGTGTGAGTCCCACTTATGACTATAATTCTATTCCAAATTCTATGCTACTCTACTCGACTCGATTCCTATTCCTATTCCTATTCCATTCTAATTCCATTCCTATGTTTATTTCTATTTCTATTCCTATTCCCATTCTATTGTTAAGCGAGCAGTCCCCAGGTCAGGAGCTACCTGTAATCTTAATTCTTTGCAGATCGATATTACAATCAAAGACGCTATTGGCCGGTACCACCAGTGTGCTACAATCCAGCTTGACTTCCAGCTACCTGTCCGGTTTAATTTGACTTACGTTGGGTGAGTGTCAACGGCCCAAGGCTGGAGCCCTTCTCCAGGAAGAGCTGAGCAATTGGAGGAATTTTGGAGGGGTCTGCAGAAAAGGCTGAGGTCAAAGAGAGGCTAAAACAGGAAGGAATGGCAAGGTGATGGAGCAAAGACGGTAGCAACCAGGTGAAGGAGGAATCAAACCAGTTCGGATGCTCGATCTGTACTTATTTAGGTAGTTCCTGAATGTCCTTCAACAGGGTTGCTACAAGGATTAGAGAAACATTTTATATTTGAGAATTGAGCCTGGAGACACTGAGGGTCCCTGGTGCTCTCTTGAGCTTGGTGGTTTTCTTGCAGACATTTCATTACCCAACTAGGGAACGTCATCCGTGCCAGCTGAAAGACTGGAGGAAGGAATTTCGCATTGGGTAAAAAATAGGAAGGATAGGAGCAGCAAAAACTTCCAATGCTTAAATAGACATTTGAGGACAACTTTCTTAGAAGCTCTCTTGTGGCAAGGAATAACCAGAACCTCAGCCTTGTTTGCACGACAGAAAATGATTAAACCCGCATGAAAAGGGCAGCAAAAGCGAAGTTGAAATGTTTTCCTTTGTCTTGCTTTTCAGCAAAGACGGCAACGACAAGACGAGGCCCGTCATCATCCACCGAGCAATTCTGGGCTCCGTGGAGAGGATGATGGCTATCCTGGCAGAGAACTGCAGTGGGAAATGGTGGGCAGCTGATCATCCTGGAAGGAGAAAAAGGTTGCTTTTGTAGGTTGTTAGGGCGGCGTTTAAAAACGGTTAATCTCGGCCCGTTCCTTTTCTCCTTCCAGGCCTTTCTGGCTCTCCCCTCGGCAAGTCATGGTGGTCCCCGTTGGCCCTACCTGTGAAGAATATGCCCAGCAGGTAAGAGTGGAGATTATCCATAGAAAGGAAGAACGGGGAAGAAGGAATGTCTGGGTTTGTAGATGGCTACAAGGGGGGAAAACGCCCCGTCGCGAGGCTTCAAAACGTAGTTGTGAACATTTCCATTGTGGCTACACCAACACTGGAGGTTTTTAAGAAGAGATTGGGCAACCATTTATATGAAATGGTATAGGGTTTCCTACCTGGGCAGGGGGTTAGACTAGAAGACCACCAAGGTCCCTTCCAACTCCCTTGTTCTTCTGCTTTTTAAATCTCTATTTTGCACCCTTGTTCTGCAAAGCCGTTGGGCTATAGAAACAGTCTTTCTCCACATTTAGGTCTGCAAGGAGGCCTCTGAAGCTGGACTTATGGCCGATGTTGATTTGGATCAGAGCTGCACGTTGAATAAGAAGATAAGAAATGCACAGCTGGCTCAGTATAATTTCATTTTTGGTATCTATGCTATGTATTTCTAAAATTAATCTGGCTCTCCTGGGTCTGCTGATCGAGCGTGGGAGAATCGTTAAGTCATTGGATGGGCTGGGAATAACCTTATAGGGTTAGGAGAAGTTATGAGAACAAATATTACTCCCGCTATGTAAGTTTAGTTTATTGTCATTGCACCTCGTACAATGAAATTAAATACCATCTTCAGTCTACATTACGACTATGAAAATAAACACAAACAGACATCCTTCACATTCTATACACTGAATTGAAAACCCCTGATATTGCATTAATATTGCACTATACAGTAGAATTCAACTGCCCTGGGATAGAAGCTGTTTTTCAGGCTGTTTGTCCTTGTTTTTATTGTCCTGTACCGGCTGCCAGATGGTAATAGTTGAAAAAAAGGGGATGCCCAGGATGAGATGGATCTTTGAGGATGTTTTGAACTTTCTTAAGGCAGCAGGAGCTACAAAACTCTTCCAAAGAGGGGAGAGGGCAACCAGTGATCCTCTGGGCAATGACCTTAACCCTCTGGAGTGCCATCCCATCTGCCACTGTGCAAATTGGCAAACCAGACACAGGTGCAGTAAGTTAAGATACTCTCTAAGAGCCTCTTTGCCACGTTATAGAAAAAGGAAATGCCATTAATATTTCTTGTAACCATATAGGTAGTTCTTCGCTTGAGCTGGGAATTATGAACTTAAGTTATGTCAGTCGTTAAGCAATCATCACAGGACCGGCCTAATTTTATAACTTTTTTGGCAGTGGTACGAAAGCAAATAGTTGCTAAGCAAACCCTTAAAAAAATAAAAATAAAGGCTGGTTTCCAGCAAAAAAAAAAACCATAAATTTTGGTCCTGCGGCTGCAGGCCACTACAAATAGCCCTAAATAATGCCCAGTTGCCTAGTGATCAAACGGGGTGAAAAACCTGGGTCACACCATTCTTGAAGCCTGTAGTTTCAGCCATTAAAGGGACCAGTCGTTAAGTCAAGGACTCATCCATAAATCGGACCTCTAAATTTAAATGTGTATTGGTTAAAATTTCCTTAAAGGACAGTTCTGTGAAATAACTAGTGAGATTCTTTTAAATGCTAACTTGGTGCTATCCGGGTTTCTAAAAAAATTAGCCTTCCTTTGAGGCACAGTTGGCCTAACCTTGTTTCCTTGCAGTGGTTGGAGAGAAGGAAAAAGCAGGCAACGCCATCAATGTACGAACCCGGGATAACAAAATTCACGGAGAAATTTCGGTCCCTTTGGCCCTCGATAAACTACGGAAGCTGAAAGCCTCTCGTACTTTACACGCAGAAGAAGAATTCTAACAGAGACCGAAGGAAACTGGGCCACGTCCTGAGTGGTTGTGGTTTACTTGGAGCTAAGTCTCATTCAGTTGGGGCGAGCCTTAACTTTCTGGGAACCTGGGTGGATTTGCAACCTTGGATTACTTGCCATTATCCAGGGTTGCAACATTTCCAGACCTGCCGGTTCTCTTGAAACACAGTGCAAAATTGAAACCACTTTTAAATTATTTTGGCTGTTTGCATGCATGTTTTATTTTTAAAAGGAAGAGTTCCAAAGAAAATGGCTTGGGTCTCATAGAGCAAGGGGTCTCCAAACCTTTTAATTCAACTCCCAGCGTGGCTGGCTGGGGAATTCTGGGAGTCGAAGTCCGCAAGTCTTAAAAGTGGCTAAATTTGGAGACCCTTGTCATATAGCGTTAAGAGATTCCTTTTGTGGATATTTATTTATAAGTGTGGGTTGCTGCTATTGATTGACAGGGAGCAGAATACCCTCTCTTCCCATGAACAGAAATGTGTAGCCTCTGAGCCGCCACCTTTTATAGGCAATGTAAAAACCATGTTAGTTTTTCTGAGGATATGTGACAAGTAGTTATAAGGTCTTAAATTGAAAGGCGGAGGAGTGAGTAAGCATCAGGCTAGAATCCAGGAGACGGCAAGTTCTAATCCTGCCTTAGACATGGAGCTAGGAGGGTGACTTAGAGCCAGCCCCTTTCTCTCAGCCCTCTTGCCAAGAAAGTTTCTGGGTCTTTGTACTGGCATTTGCCAGGAGTCAACACTGACTTGAAGGCACCATCCATCCAGAGACAGGGGAGGCTGTCATCTTTCCCTCAAGTTCAAATTGTCGCTGGAAGGAACACTTGTGAAGTTGTTGCCAAATAAGCAAACTTCCATGTTCATACTTTATTATTTTTGGAGGGGGTGTTTCTGTGATGAAAGTGTCCTGTCAAAATGAGTTTATCAATTTTGCCGTCTTGCTGCTGTACCACATGTACATTTGCATTGGAGAACTTGCAAATACGTTCCTGATAATATCTTACTTACACTTTGCTTTCTTGGGGGGACGGAAAAAAAAAAGCGGATTTGTGTCTTCCTGGATTGGCTATCTCACTGGAGTGTTTCTCAGAAAGCAGCAGAAGACTCTCCAAAGCTAGAACTTTTGAATTGAGGGATGGCATCACGCAGAGTGCTTTGCATCTTTGGCCAAATAAAACTAGAATGTTCATCTTCATACTTTCTCAACCAGCCTCTTTCTTTTGGGAGTTACAACTTATCGTACTACACATTCACATCATATTTTGATAAAAAAAAAAAAACCACACGAGATAAAAATATAAATATTATAAATGTATGTCCAGATAACATATATTATTTGCTTCATTTCTCACAGCCGGGAAATCAGCAAAGCCTCTATCATGGGCTCTATTTTGGCATTCTGTCATTCTATGCTGCTGCTATGCTTTGGAATAATAAAATAATTTTAAATAGCCAACTCCATCCTTAACACCTGTAGGCATGATTATGAAATAACACCAATGCTTTTGTGCTAACCTAAATTTGTCAAATGTACCAAGGAAATAGCACTGTAAGCTTTTGTTTTTGCTTTTTCATTTTTAAAAAAAAGGTGATCTCCAAAACAGAAAGAAATCTACATCAGCCAAGCATTCCACAAGTCATTTATTTCACCTTAAAATAAAGGCAGGACGAGTACAGATACTGTACGTTAAAAAGGGGCGTGCAAGCGATTCCAGGTAGATCATTCCGGTCCGATCTGTGAATTTCTCAGGGTGATCCACCTGGTGGTTTGTCTCGCTGCTTAGATGTAGAGCGAACCGTCTGTGGGACCCACGTACCCAACTCCAATCAGCAACACATCAATCAGCGTCCAGATTCCCAGGCCGCCAAAACTGAAGAGCTTGCCCAGCCCCTCCCGCCACTGTCCCAGGTAGAATCGGTCTGCACCGAAGCCGCCGAGTGTGATGCTGAAAGACGACACGAGAAAGCGTTAGAAGCTGCCATGGGTTACTGATTTTTCCAGCAAAGAGAATAAACCGTATTGCAAAAAATGAGGACTGCGCAATTAATATGACTGTTTCTATAACACAATACACCGAAACAGAACGAATCCTGCCAGTTTGGTGGGTTAAAAATTGTGAGAAATTGTGCTTATTTAACACGTAGATTACAATTTCTTTTCAGCAACTTGAATTTTAAAGTTTTTTGTTTTTAAAAAGCACTATTTATATATTATCCACAGGACCCAGAGGTTGGTGTTTCTTATCCTACCTTAAAGCCAAGGCTGTCGACCATTTGTAGCCTCCAGTCCAGTTGCAATAGAGCATCTTGGGAAAAGTACGATTTCCTTAAAAAAAAAAAAAACATGTAAAAAGTGTGACTGCAAAGACGGATGCGGACAAGAAAAACAAGGCACACCTTTATCATTGCTATCACTGCAAAGCTGTCATCACAAGAGCAGCGATACTGTACGCCCCGGTATTTGGGGCACCGAGAAAAGAAACACACCAGCTGCAGTCTTTCGGAAAAAAAAAACAAGTTTGTTATTTCAGACTACAAAAGAGTTTGCAAGACAGACTTCCAGGAAGAGGATTTTTGGGTTACTCAAACTGTTGTGAGGTACCTGGCTTACCTAGGCAATGGATGTGGTCTCTCACAGTGCAATTGGCCCTGTAGCGTTGTTGAGGGCACGAGACTGTCTTGCAGTTGGTAGGATTGGAGCAAAGGTAGTTTGAGGGTGGCAGCTGCCAGCAAAATTGGCAAGTCATGTTAATCAAGAAGGTCTTCTGGCTGTTATTTTGACCCTGCAAAGGAAGCAGTGAAGGTCACCCTGAGCGTAACATGTTAAGATCAGTGCTTCTCAATTTCGTCAAGTTTAGACTTCAACTCCCAGAATTCCCCAGACAGCATGGCTGGCTGGGGAATTCTGGAAATGGAAGTCCACACAACTTTAAAAGTTGCCAAGGTTGAAAAATATAGATTAAAAAGCAAGCGTGTGTTTTTGCTCACTTGGTGTTTCATCTCTTTAGCTGATCAACGAACACAATTCAGCCCTAATGGAAATCGAGGCTATTTAACAAAATCATTTCAATAATTATGTTTTTGCTAGCTGAGAATTCTGTAATTGTTCCAAGTAAACTGATCCCGTCTCTAACAAGGAAACACAGCTTCAAATCGGAATGATAAAGTCATTGTTAATTGTTCCATTTTTCCTTGAATCGGCTAAGATAATTGCTTATCTGAAGTCATCGCCATTGATTTTCATGTCATGTCTATTTATAAAGAAAGCTTTTTTACTTACAACGCAATGGACTTGGGGTTTGGCTTCACATTCAAACGAAACTGATCTGCCATAGACACAGGAATAGTTTGTTTTGCAGGTCATACATTCTGGAGGCAGCCGACTACAAATCCCATTACTGGGGCATCGGGTCACATAAGCTGGAATTGAGGTACCTTCTGCAGAAATAAAATCCAGTTGTAAAAAAAAAAAAGGCTTCAGTATCTTCCCTAAAATATCATGTATGAAATTTTTTGAGTCCTTGGAACTCCATTGTGATGACCCAAAGGGGCGTGGCACAAAGGCCACACAGTCAAATAAGCAAGAAGAGTCCCTTTATTACAAGTACATACAAACTGTAACTAAAAAATCCAAACAAACCAGGCTGCAGCAATTAACTGGACAGGGCAGGATAAGGAATTGCAGACTTTAAAGGCCAACAAAACACACACAGTTGGGAAGACACCAGGAACCCAGATAAGCCTCGGCTATAAAAGATAACTCACAATTTGCTTCTCATGAGTTGCTATGTGCAACCTCCCTTTTTAAACACTGTGTTCCCAGCAGCAGCGAATGAAGGGAATCAGGGCCCTTTCCTCCCCCATAAGCCATGCACCCCACATTGCTCCCTTCTCCGTTCCCCCCTGTGTGGCTTAGGATGAAGAGGGGGTGGGCCTGGGTCTTCCTCTGAATTCCCTCTCCCTTGTTCTCCCTCTCCCCTGCTCTGCCCAGCCAGACTTTGCCCTTCCCCAGTTTCCTCCACAGCCAACGGAGCCACACTCTCACTCCCTGACAGCTGCTCAGCTTCCTCCGACAGGGGCATGACATCCATTAACCATTCTCTATGTTTCTATAGCTCTTATTCTAACAACTCTACAAATAGCCACTCATAGGACTACTCACTCTGAGGGAGATGGGTGGTTAAGAAATATGAAATATAGTTAACTGAAACAGCACAGTCCTGAATGTGTTTTTCTTGGAGGTCAGTTGCTCCCCTGGGGGGGAAAAACTGGATGGGTCCTGCATCCCTGCAATGATGCTTTAAGCAAATTTTAGACATTTTTACAATGCCGTGACTTTTCTCCAGAGGAAAAGATGGATGGCTTTTCACCCGGGAAACACAAGCGACCAACTCGTTTTAGTCGAGAAAAGCTGAGTGTGACTTTTCAAAATTAAAAGTAGCAAAATAAACGAGAGGAGAGAAAGAAGCAGGCGAGAGATGAAGCCGGAACGCTTCAGAAAGCGAAAACTCTTCCGAAACCAAGCGGTGGGATTGTAAAATGTGACCCACCTGGCACCTTGGATGCTGGGATGTGGGTGCTCGAAGGGAGCCCTGAGATCTTGGAGAGCGAAGCCTGGGAATGAGAATGCTCCAAGCTCAGCGACCCTGGAGAAGCACAGAGAGGACATGAGACACACGGACACTAAGCAGATCTCGGGGAGCAGGAGCGCCTTCACCCTAGAATGGGCGATATAGGGTGAAATCCATTGGGAAAGGGTATCTATGCCTAATCTTTCACTTCTGGATAGAATTGAGCCCAAATTTCTGTCGCTAAGCGAAACATCGGTTAAGTGAGCTTTGCCCCATTTTATGACCTTCCCTGCCAGAGTTGTTAAGCGAATCGTTGCCATTGTTAAGTCAGTAAAACGGTTGTTCAGTGAAATCTGGGTTGACTTTGCTGTTCAGAAGGTTGCAAAAGGGGGATCAACACGACCCCCCTTTACGACAGTACAACCATCATAAATATGAGTCAATTGCCAAGCGTCTGAATTTTGGTCACGTAGGGATGCCTGCAACGGTTGTTAAGTGTGAAAAACAACCCACGAGTGTGGGGAGACCTTCAAGAAGAGGCTGGACTCCCACCTGTCAGAAACGGTGTAGGGTCTCCTGCTTGGGCAGGGGGTTGGACTAGATGACCTACAAGGTCCCTTCTGTGAAATCTGACCACCTGCCTTCATAGGTTTATAGCTTCAGGGTCCTCGGCTTGTACAGAACTCGTCCTGAACAGCAGGAGAGGCAGCATTGCTGTCCTTGGTCCTGTATTTTTTCCATCTTTATTTACATTTATTCCATGTTTTCAGCCCCTTCTGCACCACCCTTCATTGGTCTCCTTGAACCCAGGACCTTTTTCCAAACGGGGACACCCAAAGGCTGGGGAAGAATCGCCCCTCCTCCCCTTCCTCCAGAGGAGACCCCCACCTTGGGGGCTCCAACAGCCCCCTCCCCCCATTGGCAGAAGCCCACCTACTCAATTAGAGGCAACTGGGGAGGGCCAATGCTTCCTTGAGCATGTGCAGAGTGCGCTCCCCACCCCATGTGAAGAGCCCTCGCCCATATACCCCAGAAGGGGCTCCTGGGACCCTCAAGCCCCCCCCCCAAAAAAGCAGGAGCCTGCCCTGATTAGCCTAATTAATGAACGGGGCTTTTCATGAAGGCGGAGGGAGAAGCCGGCGGCCGCTTCGCCCCTCCGAGCCCACCCAGCGCCCCATTCCTCACCCCGGCCAGAGAGGACGTAGAGCTGCGAGAGGAAAACGGCCACGCAACAGAGCCGCTTCAGCGCCCGCAGCGCAGCCAGCCCCACCGCCGCCATCTTGCCCTCATCCGGGGACTCCGCCCGACTCCGCCCCCTGCCCCCCCCTCTCTCCACGGAAACGGGCGAGGAATAGGAGGAGCCTTGCGCCTGCGCGGCGAGAGAAAGGTAAAAAACGCTCTCCTGGGCTGTTGGGCGTTCCTTTTCTTAGTCTTCGGCGGTCGCTCTCGGTCGCCCCCGCGAGGGCCAGAGGGGCATCGACGCGCTGGGGGTATATTTATTTTTTATTTTATTTATTTATTTGATTTGCCAATTGTTTACAAGATAATAAGTATAAGTGTATACATAGTTGTGAATACATGAAATGGGTACATATAAGAAAAATAAAAGAAGAATAAGAGAAACAATAGGACAGGGACGGCAGGCACGTTGGTGCGCTTATGCACGCCCCCTGCATATGGGCAGAAGGCGGATCAGTCGAGTCTGAGCTGCGACGGCGCGAAAAGCCAATTTGGTTAATGCAATCTGGTTTGGGATGGGGTTTTTTTTTTTTTTTTTTTGGCACCTCGTGCAAAAATGCAACCCGGTTTGGGAGTTTTGCCCCTTGTGCAAATCTCCAGCCTGGTTTGCAGAAATCCAACCTAGTTTGGGAGTTTTGCACTTTGTGCAAAAAAATAAATAAATAAACCTGGTTTGAAAGTTTTGCAAAAATGCAACCTGGTTTGGGAGTCCCCCCCCCTTGTTTGCATACGCTTCAATGCCTCGCGAAAAGCGGGTTACGGGGATTCCCCGAGTAGGCGAGGCGCAGGGGTCGTGTGAACCCAGCCTTGCCCCGTTGCCCTCCTAGGCTTCTTTGCTCGCGGGGGAGGGGGCGTCCTTTCACCCTCCAGCGGCATTGCACGGCGGTTCCCATCCTCCCCGGTCGGCCGGGAACGATGAGAATTGCAATCCCACCCAAACGTCTGCTGGAGGCGGACCCTCCCCGGGGCGGCTGCTTGCAGAAGCGGCGGCCCCCGAGCTCCGCCCGCGAGAGGCGGTTGCAGCGTCTCCGTCCCGCCCCGGGAAAGCAGCGGCGGCCGATGGCGGAGGCGGCTGCAACCGGGCGGGCGCCCCGCTTCTTCCAGCGGCTGCCCAAAGTGGTGAGAGCCGGCAGGGCGCGGCTCCTTCTCGGCTGCATCCCTGGAGCTGAAGCTTCGCTGGGCGCTGTCTCCGCGGGTGGCGGGTCGGGGGTCTCCAGGAAAGGGGAAGGAACTGGGGGGAGACCCCCAGCCGAGGCTCCTTTGCCCCGGCTGGGCTGGGCTGGGCAGCTAAGCCTCCAGCTGCTTGCAGTGTGTGGGGAACCCAGCGGCCATCGGGAGGGTCCTCCTGTGGTTGCGAACCTGTGAATGGTTAAGAGCCTCGCGGGTCCTAAGCCAGCCTTTTAACCTCTGTGACCAAGAAGAAACTGAAGTTAGCGTGTTATTGTTATGTTGTATTATAGTATAGTATAGTATAGTATAGTATAGTATAGTATAGTATAGTATAGTATAGTATAGTATAGTATAGTATAGTATAGTATAGTATAGTATAGTATAGTATAGTATAGTATAGTATAGTATAGTATAGTATAGTATAGTATAGTATAGTATAGTATATTTATTATATTATATCATATTATATCATATATCATATCATATATATACCATACCATACCATACCATACCATACCATACCATACCATACCATACCATATATATATATATATATCATATATATCATATCATATCATATATTTATCATATATTTATCATATATATCATATATATATCATATATCATATATATTATTGTATTATATTAACAGTTGGAAGGGAACTGGTAGGTCATCTAGTCCAACCCCCCCAAAGCAGGACCCTACACATTTAGCACCAGCTGTTTGCCAGCTGTTCTGCTGCCACAGTTTTCAAGCTTGGCCACTGTAAGATGGGTGGGGGATTCTGGTTGTGTTAAGTCCATATGAAAGCATGATGGCCAGAGGGATTCTGGGAGCTAAAGTCCCTCTTAACAGCAGCCACGGTTGAAAAGCCCTCTGCTAAAGCCATTTTTCTCAACCTTGGCAACTTTTTAAGATGAACGAACTGCAACTCCCAGAATTCAGAATGCTGGCTGGGGAATTCTGGGAGTTGAAGTCCACCCGCCTTAACAGTGGCCTCAGTTTAAAAAGCACTCTGCTAAAACAATTTTTCTCAACCTTGGCAATTTTTCGATGAATTGGACTGCAACTCCCAGCTGGCTGGGAGATATTGGGACTTGTAGTCCATACATCGAAAAGTCAACAAGTTTGCAAAATCCGGTGCTAGAAAATCCACTGGGATTTTTCACTAATTCTTTTACAGGTGGGTGAAAACTTTTCTGGGCACCCAAGTAGAATTAAATGCTTTTTTTTTAGGGAAAAGCTCAGACTCAGGAGGGGACAAATCCTTTTCTCAGGATGCTTCCAAAGGAGACAAATCCTTTTTTTTTTCTCTTTCCCTTTCAGGAGCTCCACGCCCACTTAAACGGCTCCATCAGCGCTGACACCATGAAGAAGCTGATGGCGCAGAAACCCCACCTTCAAATCGCAGAGGAAATGGTTGTGATTGACAAGGGGACAAAAAGGACTCTGGAAGAGTGAGTCTGGCTTCAGGGGCACCTTGGAGACCATGGAGCTGGTCCTCGACTTCACAGCTGCTTTCGGGGCAGGAATTCCCATTCCTAAGCAAGATGGCTCTTAAACAAATCGTGCCTTTTTATGCCCTTTTTCCATCACAGTTGTTAAGTGAATCCAGCTTCTCCCCTCCATTGACTCTGTGTCAGGGTTCCACCCGCATTCCAGTCATGAGTCTCTAGCCGCATTTCTCAGAGAAAATAAAATTGATTTATTAGGAGTGGCCATGTTGGCATTAGCTGGTTGCAGCCAACACTAAAATACATCATTTTCCCCTTGACCCTGGTGTTCCTCCCATCCCCTGGATGTATATTCTCCAATGGGACACATCCATAGCTAAGAGTCATCAATCATGCTCTCCAGTAATAATCTTGCGTGCCAACAGCTTCGGCTGCCAAGGCAATTATCTGAAGCATTTAAGGAATGCACTGCCACTCCCTTTCTGATGGCAATTAAAACGATCAAAGGAGTATTTCTTTTCTTTTTTTTAGTTGACACTCTGCTTGTCCAGAGCCGGCTGCGATGGTCACAAAACTGATCACACAACCCCAGGATGTTGCGACCGTCATAAATACCGTCTTACAGCAGTTCATTTAGTGGCCGCTCAAAGTTACAGCGGCACCAAAAAAAACGTGACTTATGTGGCTGTTTTTCACACTTAACGACTACTTCAGCAACCCCCCCCCCGAGTCATGGGATCCAAATTCAGACACTTGGCAACTGACTCATACTTACGACAGGGTCACGGGATTCCCCTTTTGCGATCTTCTGACAAAGTCAACGAAGAAGCCAGATTCACATAACAACTTTGTCACTAACTTAACCAACCGCAGGGATTCACTTAACAATGGCGGCAAGAAAAGTCGTAAAATGGAGCAAAGCTCAACTTAACAAATGTCTCGCATAGCAACAGAAATATCTGGGGCTCAATGGTGGTCGTAAGTCAAAGACGACCATATAGGCTGGTTGCTGTATATTTACTCTTTCCCAGCTTGTCCACATTGCTGTGGTTCATATTTACACCATTCTTTCACGCTGGTCCATGCAGATGTTTCCAGATGTTCGACCTCATACACCAGATGACCAGCAGACCTGAAGATATATTAATGGTAAGTTATTTTGAACCCAGGTCACGGGGCCTTTGAGTTAATGAGTAAAAGGCTCGGTGGCTCGGTGGCTAAAACGCTGAGCTTATGGATCAGAAAGGGTCGGCCGTTCAAGCGGTTCGAATCCCTGGCATAGCCGCGTCACGGAGTGAGCTCCCATGACTTGTCCCAGCAGCTACTGCCAACCTAGCAGTTCAAAAGCACGTAAAAAAAAAATGCAAGTAGAAAAACTTCTGGGAGTTGAAGTCCACCCATCTTAATGCTGCCAAGGTTCAAACACACACACACACAGAGAGAGACACGGGATGAGGCTGAGTGTAATACCTTTCTTTAACTTTGCCTTAACTCTGGTGTGATAGCCTTCTCTGAATCCATCTGTGGTATGTATGTATGTATGCGTATACATATGTATGTATGTATGTATGTATGTATGTATGTACGTATGTATGTATCATAAGCCTGATGATGGCAGATGAGATTCTGCCGAAACGTTGCTACAACTTTAAAAGCACAACTACAATGACGTGGGAAAATACCCGAACAAAGCTGAATGCCATACATGTAAGTACCCGCGAAAACTTAAGAAAATATATATATATATATATATATGCGCACACATACATACATATACACACACACAAATATGTATATGTATGTGTATATACACACACACACAAAAATAAATATTTTTAGGTAACCAAAGATGTTATTCGGGAATTTGCCGCCGATGGAGTCAAATATCTCGAATTAAGGAGCACACCCAGGGAAGAGAAAAGCTCAGGTACTGTAACTTTCCTCCCGGCTTCTCCAAGTCTCCTCTTCTTGAAATGTCATCTCGGCAAAGTCGGGCTGGTTTTGAAGGAAACCATCTCCAGATGGTTGCTGAGATGGCCAGTAGGTAGCCCAATTTTAACCAAAAAACAAGCTGGCCAAGAAAAAAAGTCTTGAGTGTGTTCCTCGTTTGCAGCTGGAAATGATCTCTTGTTTTTTTTTCTCTCATTTGCAGGCATGACCAAGCGAACGTACGTGGAAGCTGTCCTTGAGGGCATCAAGCAGTGTCAGGAAGAGGGATTGGATATAGATGTAAGGTAAGTTGGGGCCTCCATGATTCTGAGTTCTCAAGAGCCCAGATTCATATTGCAAAACTATTTGTTTGGGGCCCCCAGGATGTGTTTTCTCAGTGACTATGGCTGAATCGTAGCTTACCCCATGATGCCAAGTCTACCAGTTTATAACGCCAAATTCCCAGCAGAGACTGGACGGACTCCCAAGCAAGACATCTCCATATTCCTTTTCCACCAGTGAAATAATTGCATTGTTTTTCGTCTCCATTTGCTTTAAAAAAAAAAAACAACCATTGTCAACTAAAAAATACTCCTTTGGTCTTTTTAGTTGCCGGCAGAAAAGGGAGTGGGGGGGAAAGCAGTACATTCCTTAAATGCTTCAGATAATCGCCTTGGCAGCCGAAGCTGTTGGCGCGCAAGATTATTACTGGAGAGCATGATTGATGACTCTTAGCTATGGATGTGTCCCATTGGAGGATATACACCCAGGGGGTTGGAGGAAGACCAGGGTCAAGGGGGAAATGAATGATGTATTTTTGTGTCAGCTGCAACCAGGAAACAGCCGACATGTTAACTCCTAATAAATCAACTTTTTTTACCCCGAGAGATGCGGCTAGAGACTTGTGATTTGAATGGGGGTGTATGTTGGAGCCTTGACCCCCATTTAACTATTTATCGTCCGTCCAAAACGCACTTGCCTCTGAAATGTTCAGAAATGCATTCAGTTTTTAAGTTTAAAACGTCCCCGCTTCCTTGCTGCTATTCCTGGTTTTTCCAAGTTCCCAGGGAGTTTTAAATGTTCCAGATTTCTCGTATCTGTGGACAGAAGCAAGGGGCCAGTGACTGCCAAGGAAACCGTCAAGCTGGCGGGAGACTTTCTGCTGTCCACCGATGGTGTGGTCCTTGGTCTGGACCTCAGCGGAAATCCGAAAGTAAGTTTTTCTCAGAAAGTAAAATCTTAACAGATGGGTGGGGGTTTTTTTGGGGGGGAATGGGTCTGTCAGATAATTATTTTATGGGATTGTATTTGCTCTCTTTTTCCTGTCCTGAAGGCGGGGCATGGCCAGGACTTCTTGGAGCCTCTTCTGGAAGCCAAGAAAGCTGGTTTGAAGTTGACGTTGCATCTTTCAGAGGTAACGCTCGGATGCTGGCCGGCTGGGTCAGTGGCGATAAGGTTCGTCAAGGTTCATTAAATGGGTTTGAGCACCGGACTGGTCTCCTCGAGCAAGGTCTGTGCTTGATAGGGTCACATCTGTACATGGAGAGAGGTCACCAGGGCATCTTCTAGTTGGTGGACAAGATTGAGAAGTAGAAGATCTTGGAAGAAGGCAAGGAATAGGTCACAGTGCCTAGCACTGATGATGTTACCTAGCTGGGTCATGAAACGTCTGCAAGACAACCAACCAAGCTCAGAGGGCACCAAGAACCCCACCGTTTGCCTCTTCCTCCCCCTCCCCCAACAATCCCAACTCCCTTCTAGCACTGATGAAGTTATCTAGTTGGGTAATAAAACGTCTGCAAGAAAATAGCCAAGCTCAGAGAGCACCAAAGATGCCACAGTCGTCCTATACTTACTCCTCCTCCTCCATTTCCTCCTTCCATTTCCTCCTCTTCCCCCCCCCAAACAAACCCAAATCCCATCCAGCACTGATGAAGTTACCTAGATGGATAATGAAACGTCTGCAAGAAAACCACCAAGCTCAGACAGCACCAAGGATCCCATAATCCTCCTATACTTCCTCCTCCTCCTCCTCCATTTCCTCCTCTTCCATTTCCTCCTCCTCCTCCTCCAACAAACCCAACTCCCTTGTAGCACTGATGATGTTACCTAGCTGGGTCATGAAACCCCACAACACGTCTTTGATTTCCAGATCCCAAAACAGGAGGAGGAAACCCGGCTGCTTCTGGGTCTTTGCCCAGACCGCATCGGACACGGGACGTTCCTTCAAACCTCCGAATTGGCCACACGGGACCTGGTGGAGCTCGTGAGGCGAAACAGGACCCCTCTAGGCAAGGAAGGGCTTGGGGCGGGAGCTGGGCAATGGGTGGTGGGTCGGCCTGGGATGATGGAACTGCAGTCCCCCACTTCTGCTGGGCAGCCTGGCGTCCTGTGCTCAGGAATAGCCCCGTTAGTGGTCGCTTTGGGGTAGGCGGAGCCTTTTTTAAGTTTGAAATGATGGCATTGCTGGCTGGGGAATTCTGGGAGTTGAAGTCCATCCATCTGAAAGCTGCCGAAGTTGAGTGACCCCTGAACTAAACTGGCTTTGATTTTGTTCTTGTTTTTAACCCCACCTGCTTTTGTGGGTGGGCTTCATCCTGTCCCTGTTTGTCCTCTCAGAACTCTGCCTGACCTCCAACCTGAAAGCCAAGACGGTGCCCTCCAAGGCCCAACACCATTTCGGATTCTGGTACCGCCTGGGTCATCCCGTGGTCCTTTGTGTAAGGTGCTTTGGATTCTCCTGGGGGGGGGGGGGACAGAGAAGGATCCCACTTTTTAAATAATGCTACGGGGCCCCACGTGGCTGTCCTAATTCACTCAGTCCTTAAAAAAAAACCCAGAAGTTTGCTTGAGGGCTCCTGGGCGCTCTCTGAGCTTGGTGGTTTCCCTGCAAACGTTTCATGACCCCAACTAGGTAACATCCTCAGCGCTAGGGGTGGCTGGCACTAATGAGCCCTGGTGATGTTACCTATTTGGGGTCCTTCCTCCCACTCTGCCAACCTCTTCCCCTTCTAGCATTGATGGTGTTCCCTAGTTGGGTCATGAAACATCTTCAGGACAATCACCAAGCTCAGAGAACACTCAGGACCTCACACCACTCCTCCTCCTCCTCCTCCTCCTCCTCCTCCTCCTCCCCCCCCCCCCCCCCCTCTTCCTCCTCCTCTCTGCAAACCCCTTTCCCTTCCAGAATTAATGATGTTCCCTAGTTGGGTCCTGAAATGTCTTCAGGACAATCACCAAGCTTGGAGAACACTTAAGGCCCACAGTCGTTCTCCTCCTCCTCCCTTCTACTACTGATTATGTTGCCTAGTTGGGTCATGAGACATCTGCAAAACAACCAACCAAGCTCACAGGACCTCACCTCCTCCTCCTCCCATCTAGCATTGATGATGCTACCTAGTTGGGTCATGAAACGTCTTCAGGACAATCACAAAGCTCCGAGAGCCCTAAGCACCCCACAGTCGTCGTCCTCCACACCACAAACCCCATTCCCTCCCACCACTGATGATATTCCTCAGGTGGGCCGTGAAACGTCTGCAAAAAACAACAACAACCCAGCTCAGAGAGCATCCAAGGATCCCTTGTGTCCACCCTGAGCTACCTAGAGCCTCTTCCTTTAGAAGTCCGCTTTGCTAAGCCACCTGTTTTGCACCCCAAAGCGGGCAGGAGCCTCTCACTTCTCGCGGTCTGTTGCCTTCCCAGACGGACGACAAAGGCGTTTTCGCCACCGAGCTGTCCACGGAGTACCAGCTGGTGTCCGAGATCTTCCAGTTGTCCGACGAGCAAATCTGGGCGCTCTCCTCCAAGGCCATCGACCACATCTTTGCCGGCAGCCACACGAAGATGAAGCTGAAGGAGCGATGGCAGGCGCTGAAGCCGCGGCTGCTGAAGGAACTTTGCTGAGAGCACCAGGATGCCGGCTGTCGCAGGGGTCTCCAACCTTGGCCCACTTTAAGCCTTGGCGGACTTCCAATTCCCAGAATTCCCCAGCCGGTGTTGCGCGGGGAGATTTAGATCGGCTAGAAAGCAGGAAATAGTTGGATTTCTGGCTTTCTAGCTCATCTTGAAATCTTCGGCTCTGCTTAAAAGCAGAACCGAACCTTCCTGAGGATGAAGCCGTGCAGACTCAGCTAGCCGATGGCAGAAACACAGATCTTTAAAAGCGAATCTGTGATTCTGTTGTGCATCTCAAATCTGCCTGCCTCCCTCTGCCTGATTTTGAGTAAACGTTGCTTTCTTTTTTTATTAAAAAAAATATATCAATATTTACATACATGGTGTGTTGTGAGTTACTTTTGTGAGTTTTCTTGCTAGCAAATGTTATGTGACAGGCTCGATCTCACAGATCTTTGAATGAATCTGTGATTCTGGGAGCAACTCAATCTGCTTGTCTGCTTTGCCTGATTTTAGGTAAACGTTGCTCTTTTTTAATTAAAAAAAAATCAATATTTACATCAATATTTATCATATTTACATACAAGCCATGCCCAGCCAGTCACATGACCACCATGCCACACCCACAACTTAGGCCACGCCCACCTAACAGGTTGTTAAGAAATTTGAATCCCACCCCTGCCTGTGTGTGTGAGAGAGAGAGGGGTTAGATCTATCTATCTTCCACCAACGTCAGCAAGCCACTGTCAGTCAAAATTAATATAAGTGGTCCCTAGGATTTAAAATTATGAGTTTGGTGGTCCCTGAGGTCGAAAAGGCTGGACTAGATGACCTACAAGGCCCCTTCCAACTCTATTAATATCCGAGTAGCCACTGAATTCTGAAGGGAAGATGGAGAGACGGACCCTTAACGGTCCCCAATTCTGAATGTCCACCCCTCCTCCCTTTAAAAGGTGGGGTTTTCCAGATTCCTCCCCACCCCCCAGCCAACCCCCCTGCCTCCCCGTTCAAAGTTTTCAAAGAGAAAAGCTGCCATCCATTTTGTCCGGCCGGCTGGGGTGACCTTGGAGCTGGCAAATTTAATAAATCCTCCAGAGGTTTGCAGGAGATTCCCGTGAATTTTCTGTCTTTTTGTCTGTCTGTCTGTCTGTCTTTCCTTCCCTCGCTTCTCAGGAAGTCCAGAGCCAGTGACGGTCGCACACTGCAGAGAGGGCCAAAGAGAAGGGTAACAGGCGAGGGCCAGGAAGCTAGAATCGGTAGAAAATATGGGTAGTCCTCAAGTTATGACCATAATTCGGGGCCGGGACTTCTGCCGCTAAGCAATGCAATCCTGAAGTAAGTTGTTATATCAACCGTTCCCAATTTGATAAGCTTTTTTTTTGGCCATGGTTGTTAAGAGAGTCACTTGGTCATTAAATGAAACAGGCTTCCCCCCCCCCCCCACTTTTAACTTTGCTTGTCTCAGCCCCCTGGGAAGGTCGCAAAGGAGGAATCACATGCAACTCTTGTAAATTGCATACAAGCGCTCGAATTGCAACCGTGAGAAGGGTGCAGCGATGGTCATAAGTGCGAGGACCAGTCATAAGTGCAAGGACCAGTTACGAGTCTGTTGTGATTTTGAACAGATGCTAAATGAATCAACGAGGACTACCTGTATGCCCAAATACCAGGATTCCTACAAAACAAGATTGTGTTTTCTAACAGCAATGAGGAAATAATAATAATATGATTATTATTATATTGATGACTCTGAATGGTATGAGACAAGGCTGCCCTGAAGATTTCTTTCTTGTTCCCAAATTATTTTTGGGGAGGGAGGGGGTGTAACAAAAACGTGTCCAATTGGGTAGGTGGGCAGTAGGTAGATTAACCCAAAGTGGAGGCTAAATTGGAGCTGCCTTTGCAGATGGCTAACCATGGTTCGGCTAACCCTGGCTATATTTTGCAAGCTGTCTTTGAGCAGGAGGAGTCAGCCTAATCCTAAACTTTGGCAGAAACAAGAAAAGCAAGGCATGAATTTGTCAGTTAATACGAAGATGGAAAAAACTCGGCCGGTTTATACCGTAGCCGTAAAATAGACTCTGTTCGGGGGAGTTCATGCCCCACAAGCGAAGCTAGCTATGGTGGCTTAGAGCAGGGCTCTCCAAACTTGGCAACTTTTAAGACTTGCGTATTTCAACTCCCAGAATTCCTCAGCCAGTATGACTGGCTGAGGAATTCTGGGAATCAAAGTCCACATGTCTTATAGTTGCCAAGTTTGGAGACAATCCTGGCTTAGCCATGACTGGGGCCTCTCAACAAGCTGCAGTGAAGCCAGGATTTAGCAGGAGGTGTCTTTCCACCCGTAAGTGATGAAGAACCTGTCTGAACTTACAGGTTGCAGGAACTGGGCCTGGTTAGTCTAGGGAAGAGAAGGACCAGGGGAGACAGGAGAGCATCTTCCAATATTTGAGGGGCTGCCACAGAGAGGAGGAAGGGGTCAAGCTATTCTCCAAAGCACCTGAAGGCCAGACAAGGAAGAATGGATGGAAACTGGAGAGATTCAACCTGGAAATAATGAGGAATTTTTTGACAGTTGAGAACAATCAGCCCATGGAACAGAAGTTGCCTTCGGAAGTTGTGGGAACTTCATCCCTGGAGGCTTTCAAGAAGAGACTGGACTGCCATCTGTCAGAAATGGTGTAGGGTCTCCTGCTTTGGACAGGGGGTTGGACTAGATGACCTACCAGGTCCCTTCCAACTCTGATTATCTGTTATCTGAACAACTCTCAACAGATGGGAGGCAGGGAGGAAGAAGAAGCCATCACTGACCGAAGGGTTTCCCAGCCACTCTCCAAGGATTGATGGAGTTGATCACGTTGACGTAATTAATCCACTTCTGTTCCCAGGCAGGGCTGGGTCCTGAAACGGAGAATCCCATATTTTTTTTCTACAGATCCGTGCGGAATATCCAAGTACAACCTGTAATGGATCTGGCACGTTACAACCTCCCACCCACCGTGGTTTTACCTGTCTCCTGAGTCCCATCAATGATCATTGCTCCCCGCTGTTTAATTGCTTCTCTCATGTAACCGTAGTTGTCTACAATCTCAAGGAGAAGAAAATAAATTAACTCCCTTGTGTTGGAAGAGAGCCATTTTTTTTAGAACAAGCTTAAATAAGAGAAAGGCCCCAAGGTGGACATTTTGGTGCTTCCTTGTTGAATAATCCTGGTGAAAAGGGGACAGCCCAAGCTTTGAAGAAGTCCTTCAAAAGGTTTTTTTTCTGCTTCTGTTTAAACCCAACCATCATGAGATGAGGTGGGGGAAAGCATTTCCTTAACAATACTGAATTTATATCTGGATCCTTCACATCACAACCAAGTCAAAATGATGCTGCAGAGCCATGGTGGTGCAACGTGGTGCAAAACGGGCTGTTGAACATCATTCTATGTCCAACCTTCTGCTCAAGGAAGAACCCTTGGAGCTAGAACATCCTGGAAAGTGTCTCTCTACTTCCACAGTCGCAGCCTTGTTCTCCAACTCAACCATGTTTATCTTCTAATGCAGCGTTTCTCAACCTTGGCCTCTTGGAGATGTCTGGGCATCAGCACATCTTGAAGTCATGGCTGGCTGGGGAATTCTGGAAGTTGGCATCCAACCATCTTCAAGTGGCCAAGGTTGAGAAACACTGATCTAATATTAAGCTCAATAGGGTTGAATCTTCCCTAGGTTGTGTAGACATCTAGAACAAAGTGGAGCTTCAGAGGTGTGGGCCTTCTCCTCCCATCACTCTTAATCTAGGAATTCTGGGAGTTGAGGTCTGAGGGATCTAGAATTGAAGAAGACTGCTCATCTGCTTCTATAGCAGAGTCTCCAAACTTGGCAACTTTAAGACTTGTGGACTTCTAACTCAAGTGGACGAAGTTGGGGGGAAAAGGGGCTTTAAGAGAAGGCCACCTCCAGGGTGTAGGCCAGGGCTGAGGAACCTTCGGCCCCTTTATGACTTGTGGACTTCAACTCCCAGAATGCTGGCTCAGGATTTCCGAGAGTTGAAGTCCACAAGTCATAAAAGAAAGGCCCATGGTTCCCCTACAAGACCATGTAGGACAAGGGCCTTTAAACTTGGCAAGTTGAAGACTTGTGGACTTCAATTCCCAGAATTCCTGAGCTAACATGACTAGAGAAGGAATTCTGGCAGTTGAAGCCCACAAGTCTTCAACTTGCCAAGTTTGGGGACCCCTGCTCTTAACCTAGGAATTCTGGGAGTTGAGGTCTGAGGGATCTAGGATTGAGGAAGACTGCTCATCTGCTTCTACGAGTTCAAGAAACCAACCCCCAAGGAGGAAAGTCCAGACTTACAGGACTGGGAAAATAGAGATACGGAGGTCTATCAGAAGCGTAGTCAGGAGCAATGGCGTAAGGAGGAATAAGTGGTCTAGAAGAAACAAAACGACAAAACCCCCAAAGGTCCATGAAATGTTAAAATTCCCTCACCAAAATCAATCTACACGGCCCACCCAAAGGCTGAATTCACCAAGATACGGAAGCTGGCCACCAAATTAAGGCATTGCTACAACACATGGAGCCATCAACAAACTCAACGCATGCGCAGGACGTCCCCAGGGGTCTCCAACGGTGGCAACTTTTAAGACTTGTTGACTTCCACACCCAAATTCGCCCGCCAGCCATGTGATAAGCCCTCTGCCCCCACAAAACAGGTGCCACTCTAACCTGTAGCAGTAAGCCATCTTGTATCCAAACCAGCCCTTGGCTGGCCCTGTATGTGAATTGGGATGCTGTGTGGGTGTGTTTGTGTAGGTCCACCCCATTGCTAGGAGCAGTGATCTCACAATGGATTGTACCTAGAGCTGCCTAACCATTGTGCCACAAGACATCACCATAGGCTGGGGTTAATCTGTCTACTAAAGCACACATTTCTTAAATTTAAATGATTGAAGAATGCTGAATTCTACCATTCTCCATGGGGTGTTTCTCCTCTCCTCTCCTCTCCTCTCCTCTCCTCTCCTTTCTTTCCTTTCCTTTTCTTTTCCTTCCCCTCTCATTTCCTTTCCCTTCCCCTTTTTCTCTTCTTTCCCTTCCCTTCCTTTTTCCTTCCCTTCCTTTTTCC